TTATTCAGCATGACTCATTTGCCTCGAGCGCAAATTCCTTGAAAGTATATATACGAACTTGTGTCAAAATGAATGTTGCTGCGCTCACACTCGCACCCCCACAACCCTGCTGCTGGTTAGCCCACACAGACACACACACACACACACACACACACACACACATAGCCTACAAGGAATGCATGCACGTGCAAACACCTACACGCACACACCTACACAAATTCACACACACACACACACACATAGGTGCAGACTGTGTGTCGAAGCGAATGTTGTTCATGCATGTCTAGTAGAGCCGAGCTATGTGGAGAGGATCTTTGATCTCAGCCAGGCAGCCAACCAGCTTCTCCACTATTTGCATTTCGTCTCCTGGGTCTGTTGGCTTCTTGGCCTCTCACCAGCTTCAGATGCAGGTTACAGCGGTAGCCAGAGGGAGATTCCCACACATTCCTGTTTGTGAGAGTGTGTGTTTAAGGCTGCGTGTGTGTGTGTGTGTGTGTGTGTGTGTGTAAGAGAGAGAGGGAATGAAGGAGGCCAAGCCAGAGTACCTGGGCACAGAAACACATCAAAGTACAGCTGCCTAACAGAGAGAAATAGTGAGTGAGAGATGGAGAGAAAGCAAGATGAGTGTAGGGAAAACAAGCTGTGGATGTAGAGAGAAGGGGGGGGGAGAGAGAGAGAGAGAGAGAGAGAGAGAGAGAGAGACAGAGAGTGGACAGGTTGAGTGAGAGGAGCAAGGGAGTGGGAGAAAGAGAGTGAGGCCTCTCCAGGAGGTCACTGAGTTTCTGGATCTCCTTTCCTTTTGTCCCACAGCACATTCCAACAATCTGACCCGTCAGCCAAGGAGCCGCAAAAAATGAAAAGAAGTATAGTGGGGTGAGAAAAAAAACAAAGAACACCTCAGACTGGTATAGAAAGACAAACGGAGAAGTTATTCTGCAGCAGCTTTGGTTTGAGCATCTACTTCCCAAAAGGCCACAGTCTAGTTTGATCAGATTATTTGGATTTTCATCGCTTTTATTAATTATTTGTAACGGCGCCTTGAAAGGATTAAAGATTGTTCTTAGCTGAAGTAGAAAAGTCATTAGTATGGAGAGACGTCAGAGACGTGAGATTGGAGTTGAGAGACAACGTAGATGACCGGATTGTTTTACAAGTACCCAGTTTACAAGCTCATTTCAAGCTAATAAAATGTTAACTCAGAGAAGGCTGGTACATATGAGCGTTATTGCCACCATAAAGAAATGCAGCTATGGACCCGCAAAGACGAAGAAGATAGAAAAAGAGCGCTGTAGCGCTTGCGAATGTTCTGTAATGAAATTGTGTAACGCGTTTTGGGAAGTACCCTAAAATGAGATTTGGGTGGAGTGGACCTTTAAACTGATATTTTCAACTATGCAAATCAGTGCGGCCTGAACACAAGAAATTACACATTGCCCGCTGATTCCAGCGCCTTTAATGCATTTCCCTTGCGGACCGAAGTCAGGGAGTTCGCTGTTGTTCCCATCGGTAATTTGAAATGTAATTACCCATCATTTTAGAGTGCTTCAGGAGCCTGACACCTACATCTCCCCCTCTGTCTTTCTCCCCCCCTCTCTGGCTGTTTTTGTATGCTGGTGGAGGATTGTATATTTTCCACCCCCACACATTTTTGAGCACCTAGCCCTACCATTACCTATGTAAATGAATTGGGCTCAGACAGGCAGTTTACAGAACTACCTCTCCTACACCGTGACTAAATGGGTGCTTTTACACGCACACAGGATGCCAGATCATATCCTACTGCGGTAACGTTCAGGGGGAAAAAACCTGTCCCTGTGCATCTTCCTACATCTGCGTGAATGAGCATAGCGGATATGTAAAGTAACAAGTGTTATTTTTGGGGTTATTCATATGTGCATATGAGCTTTTTACGCTAAAGACACACTCGGAATTGTGTATATTATATGACTGGATTATAATGATTAATGTGTAAATTACTTGTGAACGTGGAGCTAACTCATTTATTAGTTGATTTTATGTTTTGTATTATTAATCTGAATCTGCAAAGTAACTAAAGCTTTCACACAAATTTAGTGTTGTAAAAAGTACATGTGCCTCTGAATTGTAGTGCAGTAGAAGTATAAAGAAGCACGAAATGGAAATACTCAAGTAAATACAAGTACCTCGAAATGATACTTAAAAACGTCTGAGAAGCCAGCAAGAGTAAGATAGATTTTTAAAGTTATCCACAAGAAGAACCTAGCCCAGTGGGGAACTGCCCATTACTCCGAAAACCCAAAAGTCCGAAGATGTCCCATTGGACCTCAGGCCCATTTGTCCGACAGCCCGTTGCTCCGAAAACTCTCCGTGCAACAAACAGAAGCACATGGATAATTATGCAAAGTCAAACCTGTTCACTTTGCAACCAAACCACATTTTCTTCTTCATTGTAAAACAACCCCTCAACCGTATGAGCTCAGTTTTCAAGATGAGCTATATTAGTTTGAATAAAAACGTCCACCGAGCATTACAGAGTCTGCCAGTTTATAAATGAAGCAGGTCCAGGGTCCGGGCCCTGAAGACGGAGCGGGTAGAGCTGAGGCCAACCTTATTGCACATGTCGGCGCGGCGTCGGCGGCACAAAGAAACACCAGACAATTAAATACTTCCAGCGCTCCGCATTACAAGTGCCTGACTGTGACCTTTATCGTGGCAAGATTAAACATCAACTTTCTGCGAGCAACGCCGCAATCCAATCATTCTTGGCCCCCTCGCTCTTCTGCGCGCTGACATGTGAACCGTTTTGTTTTGCTTTCCCGTTGGTCAGACCAACACCTGGCAACACAGCAGCACACGAGCCACGGGAGTGCTTTTCTATCCGCCATCTCCAGCAGTTTGAAAATTGTTTTCAGCCTTGCAAAGCCGCCCACGCGCCGCCAGCTTTTCAGAGTGTCCTTGCTTTAACTACGCTTGTTTACATCCACCTCCGCGCAGAAGAAGAACGCGGTGGATGAAATGCACGCTGTCGGACAACCCAGAACTCTCTCTTTGTCTGTCTCATGGTCAACTTGGCTCATTAGCATGACAGGACAGATGTACACCCTACTTGAAAACAACTGACATCGGTGTGATGTCTGACCGTGAAGCTAATCAACCGGTCCGTTCAATGACAATTAATCAACCGCTTCGGATTCCGAACCACTGATGACTTGCCGCGCCTGCCGAAGCTTTCAATTTAGAGAGCTTCTGTTGCTACGTGGAAATCAGGACGCAGCTGATCCTCATCGAACTGTGTGTGAGCAAGTTAAACTCTGACAAATGACCCCACAAGGCCTGCGAGATATGGCCGCCTTCTGTGAACACCTTCCATTGTTGCGTCTTTTTCTTTCGAGCTTCGTGCATGTGCAGCTCAGCAAGGGCCGGTCAACAGATGGGCTTTGAGCAGCTGATCTGAAACAGCAACTCCTGCAGGCGTTTACGTTGCACGAGGAACATTGAATGTCTTATCAATAAATTGCTGTCGCTGTACGTGCGCATGTAGCAAGGCAATGGGAATGGCGGACTCCGCCACTGACAATGCGACCTGCAGCTAATGAGTATGAATATGTTTAGTGGCTGTAGCAGAATCAATCCGACAAACAAGAGTGAAGGGTACAGACATCAGAAAGAAACTCTGAAGATATTAATGAAGCAATGTTTTGATCCAACAGAGGTCTTTGTCAGGCAATATAGTCACAAACACATTCGTCACTCATGTGTTTGTGATCTGCATGATTGAGAGTCCATCCTGACAAAGATCTCTGTTCGATCCAAACGCTACAGAGTGTGGATCCTTTGTCTGTGTAGCAGATTAAAGACCAACAACAAATTGGAAGTTATAACATGAAGGTTGGGGAAAGATGCTGGTCCTGGTTCAATTTTGTCCGTACAGACTTGAACCAGGACCTCCTCCATAGCATTATGAACATCTCCCTATTGCCATACTGGCACCATTTTGCCCAGATAAAACCGTAAAAGCAGCCCGAAGCTCATTTTCTCTCCTAACGCTGCCTCCGTCTTTGCCTCTAAGCTCCCAGTAATTATGCTGTTCTATGCCCGGCATCTGTCACCTGTCAATCAGCCTTCCTTGCCTGTTCAGCCATGGTGCCAATCACCGCTCATTACCCACTTCTTTTTATATCTGCTGCACGCATGAAACATTCAACTTCCATGTTGAAAAATGACACTAGCGTCAACATTAACATTTCTGAGGTCTAAGGCCTCAAACCGGTCATTTCTTTGCTGTTATTAGATTTAACCCCTGGTGATGGCCACCGTTGCATCGCCCGCATATATTCTCATCTGATGGCTTCTCTGCCACACGCAGCAGGGAAGTGCAGGATAAGTGTAGCTCTGTATTTATAACCCCTGTTGCAGTGCAGGTCACAGATTCTCTTCGTCTGAAACTAGCTTTAGCAGTGCGACGACACTGCCGAAGTGATGCTGCCCCTTTCCAGTTCTAATCTCCAGTTTTGGCGTTGTGTCATGCAAAAGCATCCACTAAAAGCGAGTATTATTATTATTATTTGCTATGTTCTGTTACACTGATGGCATCACAACAAGATGAGCCGTTCCCCCCGGAAAGTTGCCGCATGGCCCGGAGCTGCCTGTTCAACCGCCGAGCCACCTGGTTATACACGTAAACCGAGCCACTCCACGAGAAGCAACATGAGTCACAGGTGTTCAGAGCTCTTTCCTGAGGATGCTCTGCTTCCCTTCTTAAGACGTGCACCCTCTGCCCCCCCACACCCCAAAAGAAAATGTACTTCAGGTGACAGGGAAATGTGGGGTTCGGCTTTTAATGGCCCTATACTGTGTGTGTAGGTGTGCACACAATTGATGCGTAGGGGTGTGGAGTGGTCAACTGATGAGGCACTGTGGAGGCTGAGAGCTCTGGAGAGTGGTGTGTGTGTGTGTGTGTGGGTTGGAAGCCTCCTCTCCTCGCAGCGAAACACACACACACACACAAAGCTGGGAGAGGTGGAGGCAGCAGAGCTCGCTTCGCCGGCTGTCTATTGATCAGTGGAGAGGTTGGCAGACTTAAAAGATCAGTGTAGAGACCGGTGGAGAGCAGAGGGAGGGATGGAGAGGAGGATACCGGGGGTCCTGTAGGATGCAGCACCACAGATAAGAGAAGAAGAGAAAGGGGAAAAAAAGGTGGAGAAAGAAAGACAGACACAAGTGTGTGAAGAGATAGATGAGGGAGAATTAAAGAGGCAGATCACGGAGTCTGGGGTTGCCCCTGGGGGGGACAGTCTGGAGGAAGCCCGCCGGTAAGCACTTGATGTTTCTGTTTTCTACGTGCCATATATGTGCCTGGGTGCCTATTTGTATGCCTGTCTGTGTCTCGTGCTGCCCATGCTTCGGTGTTGAACCACTGCAGAGAGAGAGAGAGAGAGAGAGAGAGAGAGAGAGAGAGAGAGAGAGAGACTGGTAGAGATGCCGGGTGTTTGTCTCCTTGGTGCAGCAGGCAGCAGCAGGAGAAACAAATCTCCAAAAGCTTCCCATTCCACTGCAGACAAAACCATTCAGTCCCGTTATCTGTTCAATTAAAAACAGCAGCTCGCTCCTGCTGCTGCAGGGATTCATTCAGACTGTGTGTGTGTGTGTGTGTGTGTGTGTGTGTGTGTGTGTAGATGTGTGTGTGTGTGTGTGTGTGTGTGTGTGTGTGTGTGTGTGTGTGTTTGAGAAGGTGTCAGGGTGGGGAAATCACACACAGACTTGCTTGCATTTTCAAGTTCACAAGGAGAAAATAGGAGTGATATTCCCCAGAAGCAGCTTTTGTGTGTATGTGTGTGTGTGTGTGTGTGTGTGTGTGTGTGTGTGTGTGTGTGTGTGTGTGTGTGTGTGTGTGCATGAATTGGTGTTTCAGTGTTTTCTATGAAATGTCAAATTGATGTAATGTTGCAGCAGGGATTGACAGACGGACTTGTTCCATCACATCCTAAATAAATCACCGTATAGGGACATCATTGCTTGAGCCTAAAATCTCACGTTCAGTGTTAAGACATGCACGTTGTGGTATTCCTTGTATCTTCTATTTTCCCATTTGGTCTGGAATTTTGGATATGATAGCCGCAGTCTGTGGTGATGCAGTAGGTCTTGTAAAATAACCAATAAACTACAAAAAGTAACGTATATATGAGGTTTAAAATGCTATTCATCTAATATTTACGACAATAATGCCAAGAACAATATATACATTTAACTGGAAATAAAGTTTTGATTTTCAATTCAGAGACCAAATTTCACGCACAAAACACCAAATGTAACAAAAGTCAATGGGAGCTCTGCCTCCACAGCCCATTAGAAGCAGGGACTAGATGGTCTTACGATAATGAACTGACATTGATTTCACGCAACAACGCCTCTGAGCTCTACATCACCTGAAACCACAGCGACATGTGTGTCTTGTTTTACACTCCCCGCTCGGCTGCGTCGTGCCCCCTCGGAGGTCCCCGGACCCTGGTTTGTGCACCGCTGAGCCAGGCAGCAGCTGAAGAACCCCCCCCCCCCCTTATGATATGGAAGCAACGCGCGTTGACGTGTCGCGCTGCGCTTCCGACCGCAAGCATCGGTATGCGTCTCCGTTGCACACACACACACGCACACACTCTCACAACACACTCTCATGGGGACATGCGGCCAGCAAGACGCAGCCACGGTAAGTGGAGACACTTTTCGGCACTTTATCTCCTGGTGGGCTTTAAGAACTTGCCCCCCTCCAGCCTCGGTCACTCGTTGTTGGAGAAAGGGGGAAATTTAACAGACTTTTTTTTTTTCTCACGTTCGGCGGCACCATTCCGCCGATCGCAGTCGATCCATGCAACGCGGCGTGTGATCGCACTGGAAAACGTGAAAAACAATCCGGTATTATTGTTTTTATTCAACGCGACTGTCGCTACTAACTGCTCACTTCGACCAAAGTCCACCTTATCATCTCAGTTATGCTTTTCTCTGGCCATGCGGGGGCTTTTCAGGGAGCACATTTGAGTCTCTCCACTTGCTTAAAAAGGGGCATTTTTACGCACCAAACTGTCGTTTTAAAAAAAACCCAAAGCCACATCTACAGCGTTGCCGAACAGTCACTTTTCTTTTTCTGTAAGTTAAATGTTTTGCTACTTTGAGGGGCAAAGTGTGCTGCTCGTTCCCGTGTGTGTGTGTGTGTGGTTGGGGGGGGGGGGGGGGGGGTAATGCGCAAAGTGTGTGGTCTCCAAGCTCTCCACCCCCGCAGAGACGCACGGTTCACGCGCGCACGCGCTCTGTCTGTATGTCGCGGTAGGCCATGGGTGTCTCTGGGTCTCAGGAATGCGTCCCGGCGTTTCTTCTGTATTTCATTCACATTACAGGCAGTTTGGGAACCGCTCTGGAAGCCGCTCTCCGAACCGCTGCCACGAGCGTCAAGAAGCTCCAATAAAACCTAGACTTCCGGTTACCTATTTCATAATAAGGGTCAGTTGCAATAGTGAGATAGATAGATTTTTGTTCTCCCTACTTCGTCACACATATTGTAAGTCTGTTTATGAAATAACAATGATCAGTATACTATAACCTAAAACAAAGAAGAGCAATATATAATCTCAATTGAAAGAGGGAACTTATCACATTCTCCATCAATTTTCTGTTGATCAACTAATCTTCTTCTCTAATATTTCATCTGTGAAACAATATGCGATGTTACTATCAGCTAAATATAACTTCCCTTTAACTGTGTCTTAATTCGCCAGAAATAAAAGTTTGAAGGCTAGAATATCACCCACAAGAGCTAGATGCTTTTAGTTTGAAGGCAAAAACTCTCCGGGTTGCTCCTGGTGAACTCCGGCCAGCTTGACAGCTATAGGGGGAGGGGGGGCTGGAGAGGAGAGAGAGGGAAATTCTTGTGTTTTTGGTATGCGATTACCCAGTGGAGAACCCATGACTGAAGGGGGAAGGAGGAGGAGGAGGACTGGGGTTGAGTTCAGTATACATTCCTCGCCTTCCTCTTTAAGTTAACCACATTATTGGAGCTGCTGACATGTTGCCTCCTCACATGACACCCTTAAGCTCCCAGCTGATGCATTACAACTGGACAAAGTGGTCCGATGACCTCAGCGCTCTCCTGTGGTATCTGCGTATGATACGCAGATACCACAGGGGAAAAAAACTATGGCGATACCATAGAAGAAGAAAAATTCAACTGGCCACAACTATGGTTTACGCCACGGCCAATCCGAAATGTTGTGGGTTCTTCTCTCAGCGACACCCTTTTGAAAATCAGGTCAGTAGTTTGTCCGTAGGCCTGCTGACAAACAAACAAACTGAAAACATAACCTCCGTGGCGTAAGTTATGGATTGTATAAAAGTTGTCGAGGCGGGAAAGGGGGCTGAACCCGATGTTAACTTTCTAAAAACAAAAAGCTCTCGTGGGTGATTAACATAAAATTTCAAGATAAATGGCGAAACGCACCTTTATAACAAAAGTAATCCTCCCCGTAATTATTTTGATAAAACTATTCAATCTTTTTTACAGCATCTCGCGCAAGAAGAGAACAAAAAAATTTAAAAAAATCCCTGTTTAGCCAAAAATCTCCAGCAAAACGAAAAACGACATAACCCGCCCCCTTTTCTGACCCCGCCTACTCCCCGAATCATTTGTGCACAGTCCCTTAAAAACCTGAAATTTCTATCATACAATTTTTTTTTACGGTTAACAGCTCCTGCCTGTAAACCAATAGGTGGTCTCACACACACACACACACACACACGCTCACTCGGTGTTAACTACAGAAATACAGTGACATTACATCGAACATAAATGGGGCTTTGGGTCATTTGCATAAAACCAGTGTCGCTCTGCCTTGTTCTTCAGCATCTCTGTCGGAGCTGTAATCGCCCACTCGGTAATGACAATTACTATAATGGACTGATTGTTGGATTATGCCGCCAAAGTGGTTTTAGCGCACATCTGCATAATTGTTCGTAGCATATACGCGCCCGTGGGCTCCTGGCTGCCATTAGCCGCTGCAGAAAAGAGGGTGATTGAGGAGTCGCTCGACGCTCGAAGAACAGAAGAATTGTGAGCCGACTGTGTGGGTGTTTTGAGTGTGAGCCTCTGAAAATGCACTCAGCGTTGACATATTAAACATTGTTAGATTAGATTTGTTGTCGACTGATGCGGAGGGGGGGATGGACAAGAGCAGCAGTATGAAGGGGGTGGAAGTTTACTTTCAGGGGCCCTACTCGGAGTCCAACCCCAATAACTATCAGCTGCGCCACTGTGCAAACAAGTAGAAATGTGTGAATTTGAAGCAGGATATCTGCGGTAGAGTCACTTTTATGAATAAACGTTCGGAAATGAAGATTGCACAAGATTAATTAAAAGTAATCCGCCGTGAAAATGACGCAAGCGAGACAAGGCGCCAATCGGAGCACCATTGCTTCCAGTTTTATCAAAATTGTACCAGTGAGATTGCAGCCGCAGTCTTTCCAAACAGTTAGAAACCAGGTCGGCTGTATATAATGTAATATAAAATGAAAGTAATGTTTTCACCAAATTGTGTTAGTTTAAGCAAAAGAAGTATACCAAAATGTATACTACATCCTGGAAAACAAACATCAATGCTCATCACTCTCATATCCCATGATGCTTCCTTTCCAATTTATAAAAGCAAGATAACCTCACAAACTGTGGTCTGTTTCGCCCTAGTCTTTGTTCAGACGCTCCAACGCGATGGGAAGACGTGTCCCGTCTGATCACATGACCAGCAGATGGACAGACACATCCGTGTAGAACATGGGGGGGGCTGTAGCAGCATGAGCCAGATCAGCAGCACGGAGGAAGTCTGTCGCACTCCCTCCTCCAGCAAAAAGAGCTCATTTCTTAATCGACTTCACTGTGAAAGATTGAGTCGGCGCGAAGGAAGTTATCGTCTTCCGCCGGCGTGTAGCGACACCTGAAAACCTGCACGACCGTGACTTCATCCCCCTCCTCTTCCTCCTCTCGCTGCTCGTCTCCTGAAAGCAGGCCAACATCCCACTCGCACACCTAATATAATATCACGATGCCTCTCACTCTCGCCGCTTTTCTCTCTCAACAGCACTCTGTGCTAATTACTCTCTGTTTCCATAGCAATGGGTAGCACCTCTCATTTTCGTTTTTGTGTTATCTTGGATAGCCTCTCGCAAACATGCCTTCCCATCGCATCATGCGGCCTAGACGACAGTTTGTATTGTTGAGCGGATGGATTCTATCCTGCGGCTAAGCAAAGCGACATTCATCCCCCAAATTACAGAGAACGAACGTAAAAAAAAACAGGAAAAAACACCTTTTATATAATAAGATAGTCATTCATAATCCGTCTGTGATTTAACATGCTTCATTTTGTGATGAAGTGTTGTTATTTGTGACTCATACGTGGGTTTTTAAGTTAGTTATTTCATACATTTCCCACAATAACTACTTCAAATCTTTGCAGTTTTAGTCATACATACATCATGTTATTATATATATCTATATATACGAATATATGCTTACGCAACACAGACAAAGAGGCCCAGACGTTACCTGGTGATTTACATCCTTCCTGTCACTGCGTTCTGCCAGAGCAGATGGAATATTCTTGCCATACATTATGAATTATTAATTGAAAAAAGGTTCCATTCAGCTTGTATGATTGAGTGCCCCCCCATCTTTCCCTCTCAGCTATAGGTCTGTGCTGTGGATGTCACACACTAGACTCCATATAGGTGAGTCACTTTGACACAGTCACACGTTTCCTTATAGTAACGTGGAGGAGGTTGAAAACGGTCAGAAAACTAGCAGGGGTTGTAAGTACAGGGGGGGGGGGGGGGGTGAAACAACACTGGAATGGATTCAAGTTGTGTGAGTTTGCGCCTTTGAGTCGAACGAGGCGGAGGAAACAGAGTGAGAGCGATAGCCTGAGAAAACAAGAAAAAGGGGGAAATTATCCCGGCCCTCGGGGCCCTCGGCTCATTACTCATTAAACACACAGGAATGTTGGGTCAGAGCGGGACTTTTAAGGACACATCTAAAAACGTTTAAATTTAAAGGATGCAATTTCACCTGAAATTCCGCTAATTGCGAATTTAAATAAATGGAAATTTAGATTCTCAAAACGCACAAACGGGAATTTGCTGTTTGCAATTACAGACACGTAACAGACGATAAACAGACTCAGTTGATATTACACCACCAATATGCATTAATATCAGTTATAAACTCATAAAAGCATCCGTTTATTCTTTTTCTTTCATCCATATTTATGTGACATGAATCCACTTACACTACTGAATTAGTAATTCATTTCTTTTTAAAGTGTTTCGCCCTCTTCTTCTTTTGCACGTGCCTTCATGCTACATTATCCTCAATGACCCAGGGTTTTATGAATGGGCAGCAGGAAGCCGTGCCATTGGCTGATAGTGACAGCCAATCAGGGAGGATCATTTGCAGCAGAGGTGGGAGTGTATGAATGGACAAGTCAGACAATTTTAGAGGTCAGGGCCCGGTGTGTGTGTGTGTGTATGTGCGTCTATAGGTGTGTGTGTGTGTGTGTGTGTGTGTGTGTGTGTGTGTGTCACACACACTGACCTACTTGGTTTATTGCAGGCATCTATACATAGCTGTGGGAAACGCATGCAGAGACAATCGGACCGGTTTAAATTAGCAGTCATGGCCGCCTGTCTGTTTCTCTCAAAGGCGGAAACACCAGAGCAGGCAGGGCAGAGACGGAGGGAACAGGAAGGAAGGAGAGGGGTGGGGGGGGGGGGCAGGGGTATTTGATCACACACTGCTGGTTTAACCCCTTTCCCTCCCCCCCCCCCCCCCCATTGCGACACAGGGAGACATTGTTAGGAGGTCTGGTTTTCAGGGGGGGGTTGGTTGTGGTCCGGGCCAAGCAGAGTTCACATACCTCTCTGCTGGATCACTGCCATGTACAGGATATCGGTGGAGGATATACAGAGAGTGTTCAAGGACCAGTCCAACTTTTTTGGGTCTGACCCCCATTGAACACCTCGTGTGATGACAGAGCGTGAGATAGTGTGGTGTGCAACACTTTAGCATACAGAATGTTCATTGCGTAACCATTTTGCGACTGACGACCCCCCCGTCTCTCGTAACATACAACACTTTTGTCACTGTATCGCAGAACTCAAGTTTCCTGTCTTTGTCGTTTCAGACATGCCAACGGGAAGTCTTAATCTTCTTAACTGATGAAGACTTCCTGTTCTAAAACTGACATCTCGTTTCCTGGAATCACCATTTCTTTTTTTTTTTTTACAGCCCGCCCTTGGTTTTGTCCCTCGTGTGCCTCCGCCAAAGTAAAAGCGTTTGTGGAAGTACTTAAGAAAGACAACAGCAGCAATATCACAGTACACTTAGGCCCTGCTTTATCACCACCACAGAATTCAACTCTCACTTTCAAAGGTTGAATATAAAATGTTGGCTTCTTAATCTCCCAACTCGACCGATTCTCACCCCCAGTGTCTTTCTTTTTCAGGACTCCCATCAGACTCTCCAACAACAGATGGACACGCCAGGAAAGGTGGTGGAAGCGTCCATCTGTGGCAGTCAAAATGGTCGCCGCAACAGACGGCCATCTTGGTTTCGGTGGCTGGAAAAGCTCAAGAAGGCAAAGAGGGAGACGAGGAGAGAAATGGCTGTTTAGCCGCATGCAGCACAACCTGTAAATGCTCTTTTCTAATCTGTCTTTTATTTTTATTGATTTACTGTTTAGATACTCCGACAATCTTTGAGCTTCTGTCTGGTTACAATGAAGACGGTTTGCCATCTTGTCATGTTTGAGGGACTGTCATTGCATTAGAGCTGTATCGCAGCATACACATTTTAATTAAGAGTATTCTTAGTCACTTCCTCACCTGCATCACATCAGCAGTGGCCGACACTGATGACACTTTCCCTGTGCGTGTGAAGTTTTTGTTTACCGCATTGGCTGAAAATGTGGCAGCCGTGCGGCCATTTTGGCTCCCGAGCCGCAGGGCCCCCCGGCGGTTGCTCAGTAGTCAGTGTAGATCCTGTGGGGCTGGCAGCAGCTACATCTGGCTACTGGGTCTCCGCTGGCAGGCACGTCACTCGGAGCACGTTTCTGCAGCTCTTTTTGTACGTTTTTTTCAAATGCGCTGTAATATTTTTTTTTTTCCAGACGCATTTGGAATCCCTTTTTTCCCCAAACGGCGGTTTCTATTTGAAGTCCACACACTTTCACTTGTGGTTTTTCTACCACGCGGCTTTTGAATTTCAAAGAAAATGTCTTGAATGCACACCCACTGCGAAGAAGAAAGCCTTCGACGCAGCTAATCCTCGACTGCACGGGTAGTTCAGAGGACAGAGTGATTTATATGTGAAATAAAAATGACATTTTGAGACACTGGGTAAGTTCTGGACCTGGCATACAGTGTAGGATTCTGTGTGTGTCAGTCTACAGCTACATTGTCTGCTGGGTTTCAGGCCTTCACTCTAAACATCAATGCCTCCGTTTGTATTATTCCTGTAAATGACACCAAAGGGTTATGAAACTATTGTGGTGCGTTTGAGAAACCGAAGAGCATGGATAATTTGACAACGTTGTGTTTATTGACTCATCATAAAACATTCTTCAAACAATAAAACAATTTTAAATGTCCGTTTCTGTACAATGCTTGCTAAGCAATTTTATTTATATATAGAAAATGTAAGAGGAGTTGTGTTAAAATGACAAAACTCCTTCAAATTTAATGGCAGGTACTCTGGAAAAAAATAACAGCATTCCATCAACAAATATTTTCAAGCAATAAATATGTATTTATAAATAGTGTAAATTTACATCAAGATTAGAAACATAACAAAAATCACAAATTAAACTTTTTTTCCATAAGTCTATGTGCAACCCATTCTCTGTGTGACTTGGCTAGTAAGTTGTTTTTTTTCTACATTTTTTTCCTTTTTTTACCTAGAAAAAAAAAAGTCATAGTTTTGAAAAGAACAAGACAAAAGTAAAACATAAAATCTGTAAAAAAAGAAAAGAAAATAGAAAGAAAAGAAAATCAACTTAACTCTTCACATTACAAATTTTTTTGGAGACTTTGCTGTCCAAAGAGTCTTAAAATGACTATCTACCATAGAAAAAGACCAGTTAGGCTAGTGCTCCTTAGAAGGACAAACTGAACAAAATTTTTGGGGAAATTCTATAAATCAAAGCCGACATTTCATCCTGTTACCAGAATAGAAAAAGTAAAGACGGGAGAGAGAGAGAGAGAGAGAGCTTGTCAAGTCAGTAGTCTTTTACGGGTGGTGTTGCCAGTTGTGACAGTTAACAAGTATCTACAAAACATTTTTAATCACGCATTAAGAATCCCACCCCTCCCCCCCGTTCCCAACCGTTTTTTGATTAAGTCCTCCATTAAAACAGGGCTGAGCCAGTCACTAGAGGGGGCTGGGAGGGGAAGAGAGAAGGGGAGAAACAAAGTCCTGTTTGTGAGCTCGGTGGCGCCCCCCTCTGGAAGGGCCAGGCCCCAGCACTTCAAAAAACAGGTTGCATAGACAGACACACTCGGCCGCCTCAGCCTCCAGCCGTGGCTATGGAGACCAGCCATAATGGGTGGGGAAGGGGGGGGGGGGGGGGCCTTGGCTTTCCTGAATATCAGAAATGGTCCGCGTATGTAGATGTTCTTTTTCATTATATTCTTAATACAAGTTCCTGTGAATGGGGGAAGGGGGGGGGCTTCATGGCTCCACAGCAGAAGACGAAGAAGGAGGTGTCACCTAATGTCAAGATGAAGACGAATGAAGAGGAGGGGCCTGGGGAGGAAGAGCACACACGACAATTAGTTCAGGAAAAACTAAATCATCTCCCTTCATTTTGAAGTCCCCCCACCTCCCTCGGTCTGGTGACTTACTAATGTGAACTGGTCGTAGACCTGCATCAGGTCCTCCATCCTGTGCTGCTCCAGCACCACGAAGTTGTCCAGAGTGGCGCTGCCTTTCCTGGCGCAGTCCTGGCAGTGGACCACGTGCTGCTTCTTGGACAGGAGCTCACGGCGCACAAACAGCAGGTTGAACACCTCCACCTGCAGAGCGCACGCGCACGCACGCACACACACACACACACACACACACACACACACACACAAACACACACACGTGAGGGGGGCGGCGACGACTGACCGTCTTCGGTGTCGCTCCTGTTATATTGCAACGGAGCTTTGATTTGTGAATCTGAGACTGCAGAGATGACATCATCTAGACCGTGAATAGCAGAGCAATTTCTAGGACACGACGGCAGACGTTTAATTGGATACGGACACATTTCAGCTGAACAGCGAAAGCCCCGCATTCAAATTAAACCCATTATACGTGCCCATTAATTGGCTCACACAAAAACTGAGTCGGCCTTTCATTCTATGTCAACGGAGCATCTGAACACTGAATCACAAAAAAACCTTTTAAAATCCGCGACCCCCCCCCTCCCCGTGTGCTTACTGACCTCACAGATGGTGCAGTAGTGGGCCGGCTCGTCCCTGGTCCGCGGCCTCAGCACCGTTTCCTTGCCGGCCGTCGCCAGCGCCTCCTTCACCCACTGGCACTGCTTCAGCGTCCGCAGCAGGCAGTACCTGTGACGACGACGACGCATTGTGTCACGCTCGGAAAAAAGAAAAGCCAGCTCGTAATAACGCAAAGTAAACCCCGCCGAGGGACTCGGTGACTCACTTGATCATCTCAAACAGCTTGTGGTCGGACACTTTGATGTTGCGCGACATGTTCCAGGAGAGGTGCACCATGGGAACCATGGACTTGACACTCTGGAGCTTGTTCCACTCGTAGCGCTCCACAGCCAGCTTGTACTGGTGGGCTGAAAGACATATTTCACATTATTTGACATGATTATGTGGCCGGCATAAACAGGTGCACTGGTTATTATGGAAGTGTATTCGTGCCATCATACAACTAAAAAGAAAATGCAGGGATCAAATCCCGCAGTAATTAAATAAAAAGGTCACCAATCAGCAGAAAAGCGTTTCAAATATCACAGTAAAGGTCATCATATCAGACATCATTTCTGTAAGACAAATCAAACTGTCTAGAACTCTAGCGGCTTGAGTATCGTGAACCCACGTCCCACAATCCCGGGCGTACCGGTGAGAGGTCCAACGTTCCAGGCGATGTTGTTGCACCAGCCGATGGCCTGCACCCAGTGGACGGTGCCGGTGTTGAGCCACACCAGGTCGCCGGGGCGCTGGATGAACCGGTAGACGGGCACGTCAGCCTCGTACAGGTCCTCCAGGTTGGGCCACCACGAGCCCATCAGGAAGTTGATGTTGTTCCTGGAGGGGGAAGACGGTCGGGATGAATACAGGAATGGATTGGATGAGGGGCCCGTGACTTACGCAGAAGATGGCCATCTTTAAAACGTCCCTCCCGTCCAGCTTACTTTTCACAGAAGTTGCTCATCACTCCCCAGTACGGCTCCGGCACCGCAAACCATTCACAGTCGCCCGGTCCGATGTTGATGTTGACGGCGCAGAAGTTATTGTGCTCCTGGTGACCTGAGAGGGACAAAAACCTCTTTGAGTGCACGAATCCACGCTCTGGAAACAGCAGTAATCATTTGTACCAGAAGTACGTTTTCAGGCCGGTTTGTGCATCAACCTGCTATCCTGCTCCCGGGGACCTTCATGTAGAGCTGAACGGTGTTCATGCCCAGGATGGTGTGACCCACGTGGCTCAGCAGGTTGCCGGCTGATACGACGCGAGCGAAGGCCGGCAGTTTGCTGAGCTCCTGGAGCTGCTGTTTCCACCTGGAGAGAGAGAGAGAGAGTGTGGGGGGCGAGTTGTCATAAAACCATGTTTACAAAGCGTCTTAAAAGACAACAAATCCAGATCCAGACTCACTTCCTTTCGTCCGACACATCGATGTTGGTTCCAAACTTGATGTGCTTCAAGGGTCCCCTTCTTTTGCGGGCAACACTGAAGACACACAAAGAAATTTGCCACATGTGGTTTAATGTGCACAAAACGTTTTCAAAACGCATACAACCATTTCTTTATGGGGCTAAATAAACAAAATAAAAGTCACTAAAGATAAAGATCAGGTACCTCTCTGCTGATGTTGGCTCTGTGTCCGATGGCTCCTTTAATGCCTTCTTCTCATTTTCCTCCTGAGAACAAAGAGGAACACGTGAAGCCAGCTGTATGCTACCGTAAGCCGTCAAAAAGTTTGGTTTCACAGACGAAGCAGGACTGACCCGTAGGGACTCCTGGAAGGAGGCAGCCTGATACTGGGCGTATTTGGCGATAGTGGTGTGAGCGCGGGCGCTCTCGCAGCGCCACATTTTCTTGGTGCCGGCCGGGTCCCAGTTCTCGTCGGCGGGCTGCGAGAGCTGCGTCCAGACCTCCACCAGGTGCTCCGGGTTCGCCTCCACCAACGTCTTCGTGGAGAACAGACCCAAGTCTGCCGGGAGAACGGACACCCGGAGAGGGGAGGGGGACAGAAATAATTAAAACACGGACGTCTTTGTGATCGGCATACCTTCCCCGCTGCTGCAAGCAAAAGCATTTACCCAGTTTGAGTGCTCCAGCCAGTCCTCTGATGACGGTGACGGGGTTGGAAGGGTTTGTGCAGAACTGGTGCAGTGGGGGGAAGAAAGCGTCCCTCTTGTTCTCCAGCTGGTCCACAGACAGGAAACAGGAAGTTAAAGGATATCATATAGCACTATGACCACCTGCTTTAATGAACAAGACTCATCAGGTCAAAGCGAACGCGACTTCTTAAAAAACAACTGCCAAACACTCCCTGAAGTGGCTTGCGGCCCTCTTGGGCGATACTCACATAGATGCTGGGTGTGGGAGGGTTGAGCTTGTCTTTGGGCAGGGCTGGTGAGGGTGGAGGGGGCAGCCGGGGCGGGGGGCACTTATCGAGGAGGATGCTGCTGTTGGAGAGGCCGTTCCTCCCCAGGTTTCTGCACACAATGCAGAGAATGTTTAAGTGGGAACAGCACGGGTGACGAGATCATAAATCAGGGAGAAGTAACACACCGTTACAGGATACCTACCTCAGATCTTAAATATATCTGCTCCTAGCGGTCCATTTTACTGGAGAACAAACTACATAAATATGTAAAACAAGCGGGAACTCGTGCAACCAAATGGAGGAATATTCCACTGAATAATCTGTGCTAAATAATATCTGCATGGCAACAAGACTGCCCAGTAGCCTTCGGTGTTGTTTACAGTTACATAATTATTTCCCTTTGGTTGTGTAGTAGCTCTGAAAGTCCACTGGGGGGAGACATCGTCAACACAAACCACACCGCGATTTAACATACAGCAAAGCCTTTTAACCTGCCAACAGATGCAGCTCACAAACTAGTGTCACCGTAACACGTAACGCTTAGGTACCAAGAGAGGACTCAACCGGGGCCTCACCTGCAGGCCTTCAGCACGTCTGTGGAGCTGGGGTAGATGGATATGGAGGACGACGAAGAGGAGGAGGAGGAGCCGTGTCCGTGTGGAGGCGTAGCTTTCAGACTGGTGACGGTGGGCGGCTCGGCCTTCTGCGGGCTTTGCGAGTCCTCCGAGATGCCTCCTTTGCCGTTGCCGTTCACGGCAGGTGCAGCAGAGGTGGCGGCGGCGGCGGGGCTGTGGCCG